GGGGCCTAGGTCGGGGAAGGGTTTCCTCATCTGTGTAAATGCGCAGCAGCCCAGAGGCATGGGGAGGGGGCCCTGAGGATGGCTTGTATGTTTTTTTGGGGGGGGAAGGCTAACTGGGGAGGGATGGGGGGACTGAAATTCCCAGAATTCCAGGGTGTTAGCCAATCAGAAGTGACTCTGGACTTTTGACACCCCCCCCTCAGGTCATCGTAGAGTTGTGATTGGCTGGTTTGGGTTCCCCCCCATCCTTGCTGCTTCTTGCCTCTTACATATTTTGTGATATTCCCCCCCCCTTGGGCAGTTTCTGAGGATGCTGTTTGGGGAGGAGTTGATTGGGGCCCATCTTGTCCCCCTCTAACTTTTCCTGCCTGTTGCTAGGGAAGGTTGGCCTTCCTGAGGGACCGAAGGCACTCCTAGGGAGTGCCAAATAATTGGGCCCTTGGGTCTGCCATCCCTGCCTTCGAGGGAGGGGGAATCTAGCAGTTTCAAGCAGATTAGGAAATAAGAGTGATTTGCAGAGTTGAGTTGGGGGAGCAGTACTTGACCCTCAAGTGAAAACTTGAGGACCCCAGACTCAAATCACAGTCTCAAAACACATCACATCTTGTCAGGGCATAGCTGTGTCTGAGATTTTTTTTTCTTATAGGGTGGGGGTGTAGGCCCCACAAGTGCTGGAAGAAAAAGTAGAGCCCTGTGACTGGAGAGATAGTCCTCAGAGAATTGCAGACTGCCATCTGTCCCTATCCCTACAACTCTGGGTGGTCAAATTGGCCCTCCTTCCCAGGATGGAGTCAGCTTTCTCTAGCAGTGTCCCTAAGTCTAGCCTGGTTGGGATCCCTTACCCCTTTCAAGATGTCCTGTACTCTGAGAAGCCTGCATACCATAACTAGACCCCCAACACACACAAACACACAATCCCCAAGGGTAGCTGCCAGTGCAGAAGCTTCCTTGAAAATCATGTGACCCAGGCCAAGTTGGACTGGGTTGGGCACACACTTCAAGTGCTTGCTGAGGCTGACATTTTAGGGACATGGGGCCCAGGGGGAGACTAGGAGAGCCTGAGGACCCTGGAATATCTGGGTGTGGGAACTCATGGCCCCTGCTGCAGAGGGTGGGGAAGAGGAGGAAAGGGAAGAGCTTGCCAAGCCAGAATCCTGCCTGGCCTCATATCCCTCCTACCAGCTTGGTGTGTATGTTTGTGTATTTTTTTCCTTTGTAATTGGCCCATGCTAGATACGGCAGTTCCTGCTTTTAGCCTACCCCTTGGTTCCGCCCCTCTGTGATCATACATTGATAGCCTAAAGTAAGACTCCAAACAAGCTAGAAAGCTGGAACTTACATTTTGATTCTTAGTTCCTACAAATAGTGGGTAGAGGTTATGTATGGAGGGGTTCTCAAATTTGAGGAAGGGAGATTGGTTCTGCAGTTGGGACAGGGTCCCTGGGTCAGTGGGAGGAGAAAGTTTCCCCCTCAGTCTCTTTGTGAATAGTGTAGGAACAGGAAGAGGCTCCATGTGCAGGGGTGTGTATGTGGAAGGTGGTCAGCTTCAGTCAGTGCCCTCAAAGTCACATTCCTTTTGTGTGTCTGGTGGCTTGGCATGAGAGAGAGAGGAAGCAAAAGATGGCTAAGGGTAGAGAGTCTTTATCCTGATTGTCAAAAAGTCTGATGGACTGATGTCACAGAGGATGGATGGAGGTTAGACTTGAAGGAGAAGAACCACGTGGGGAACGGCTTAAGAGAGGTTGGAAGGTAGAGAATGATAGAAGTTGGGGTAAGAGAGGGCACCAGTCTTGCATGTATGGGTGGGAGCACATGCTTAAACCAGGGCATCCAGGCAACATAGCAATCCAGGCCTGAGGACCACCACCACCTTGAACAGCCCTGGGGCGAAGGCCCAGGCACCCTGGCAAGCTGCCTGCTGCCTGCCTGCCTGCCTGCCTGAGTCTCTCCTTTGTGTTCTGCTGTCTCTCGGCTCCTCCTCCTCCCCCAGCCCTACAGAGAGACAGCACATGCCCTACACATGTGACTGAGGGAAGCCAGAGCACACACAGACCCACACATATGCACACATGGAAACACCACAAGATAACACATATACATGCCCTTCCAGCTCCCTTAGTCCTCTTGGGGTGGTGAACAGCTTCTAGGGTGAAATGACCAGAAGCAGGGACAAGCCTTGCTAAGGAGCATCTCCCTGGGATGCTAAGAGGCCAAGGCCTGTCTGGGGCAGCATGTGGCTCAGAAGGGTTAAGGCAGGGAGAAGTAGGGGGAGGGGTGGAGGCAGCAGTGGTGGCGGCTGGGAGCCAGGAGAGGAGGATGGCAGAGCGCCAGGCCAACGGGAGGCCGGGCATAGACAAAGGAAGGGGGGCAGGCACACTGGAGGCCTGGGTCAGGGGCCCAGGCAGGGGGGCAGTGCTGGTACCTCATACTGTGGTTTGGAGCTAGCTGCTATTCTTTGAGCCCCCACCTCCAGAAGTGCTCACAGGCTTCTCTCTTATCACCTTTGTCATTCTTTGCTGCCCCCCTCAACACATACATGCACATACCAATTTTAGGGCCTTCAAATACAGACATGTTCCCTTTAGCTGGACCTCTTCTGCCCTGTGCAGTGGGGGAATTGGATCATAGCAGGAGTGGACTTGCTACAGAACAGGAACTAAGAGCCTTTTGAATGATACGCCAGAGTCTTGATACATCTTGGTGCTTAAGGGCCCCCCTCACAGTGAGAGGGGAGGACTCTTATGGCTCCTGTCTGACCCGACAGGCTGGGTGGGGGGGGGGGGTTCTGAGTCCTGGGCTGGGGGCAGAAGCCAGAGCACATACTCCTCCCCCACCCTATGTGGACAGTCATTTGAAGCCTGGAGGGGGAAGGGAATAGGAATGGCTACAATGCTCCAGGACTAGGCTTATAGCAAGCAGAGTTAAAAAGTCCAGTGTTCCAACCTCAGGTCCTCCTGGCTCCCATATGTGTCTGTATGCAAGTTTAAGGTACTGCCTGTCAACACACTTTGAAAAGTTTGTTTTTTTACTGAGGTGCCCTTTGAACTTCTGATCATCTTGTCTCTGCCTTCTAAGTGCTTAGATTACAGGTGTGTTCCACTATGCCCCCTCCCCCAGATTATTTTTGAGATGGTCTCCCCATGTGGCCAAGGCTGGTGATAGAACTCTTTGTGGTCCAGGCTGGTCTCAAACTCAGTGAAATCCTCCTGCCTCAGCCTCTCAAGTAGTGGGGTTACAGGTGTGTGCCACTGTGCCCAGATCACTTCGGAAAGTTTAAAGGCACAAATGACAGAAATGATTCTGTTGGTGAGGGAGGAGTGTGGCTATTCAGAGTTGGGCTGTAAATCTTGGAAGCAATAAGAATGTTTTATATCCTTCTGGTAGGCGGTATGTTGTAGGCTCTGGCTAAATGTCATAGATTTCAATGTCTGTGAAAGATGGGGTATATCATGGCCAGGCTATGATTAGAGAATGGAATACAGTTTTCAGGGAGGATGGGGTATGGAGTGTATCTCTCTGCATAACAATTGATCAGGGTATCTGTATGATAGTGTGTCACAGACTTAACAGGTAATGTCACAGGTATGTTTATTGGTATCAAGATACATATATGGTGTCCAGGACCCCAGAGAAAATGAAAGTCAGGATCTAACTCAGACTCTTAATGTGTTTGGATGTGTGTGTGTCAGGGTTTGGGTATAGAGTTTAAGAAATGTGTATCAGTTATTGATTTATATGAAAGTGAAAGGTGTTTTTTATGTGTGGAGTGTGTTTATAGAGCTAGTTGTAGTGTTTATCATTCTTTGCTGCTGTGTGTATGTCATGAGAAATCCTGTCCATGGGATTGTTGGGAAGGTAGCTGAGAAAGGTGGGAAGTAGAGGAGACCCATTGTTAAAAAAAAAAAAAAATGCAATTAGGAGCTCCTTCCTCAGAGTGAGTGCCTGTGCATGTTTCTTTTTCCTGTCTAGCAGTGGGGCTACCGACTACCACCCAAGTTTCAGAAGCATCTCCTTCCCTGTTTCATCAAGGGATTATCCCATTAACCAAATACCTTTTTAAAAATCTGGAGTAGTGGGAAGGATTCACCAGTCCCCTTTGAGGCCCCTTCTGTAGCCCCTTGGATGGGCAAGTTTGTCTTCCCTACTCTGACAGCGCCTCTCCTTGGCATCCACGTGGCTTCAGGGGTGGTGCCTGGGAAGGGTGTTTCCTGTTAAGGGGCTCTAAACCAGGGCTGGAACTTAACGGGGTTTGGGGCAGGGAAGCCTGGAGTGTCCTTTGCCTCCGGTATTTGCAGGCTGAACTCAGAATGTGGTTCCCTCAAATATAACCTCGGGAGCTTACCCCCTTTGCTGCTCTGGGATTTCGGTCGGGGAGTCAAGAGTGGCAGCTCAGGCTAGCCTTTAATCTGAGCGATCTTCAGGATGAGGGACGAGAGATTTTGGGGCGGCTTGGGAGGTAGGTTAAAGATAGCGGGAGTCTGCAGAGGACAGCACCCTTCTTCACCCCTGCTTGTGTCTTTGGCTCCCTGCCCTCTTCTGAGCACCAGGCCTGGGACTGGGGGGTGTATTTCGCTGCTGGCCTCCTTGGGCTGGCCATCGGTCCAGGTCTCCCCAGGCCCAGTGCGTCCCCAGCCTCCGGGTCTGGGTCTCTTTTGTTTTTCTCAGCAGTCCCTCCTCCCTCTCTCCCTCCCTCCCTCCGCTCTTCCTCCTAGCTCTCAGGGAGGGGGCGGGGCCGGCGGGGCAGCTCCACCCTCCGCCGGCCCTGGGGCCTCATTCCAAGTCACTTGTCAAGGCGTCACAAGGACAAGTGAAGGGTAGCCCCCAGCAGTTCTTGGGAGTATGTTCAGATTCCAGTAAACTGAGTAGAACAACTCTGGAGCAAAGAGAAGAACTCCAGGAAGGAAGGTAGAGGAAAGAGGGAGAGGGAGAGATGGAGAGGAGGGGAATGGGAAACAGAGAGAGAGGGAGAGGGAGAGAGAGAGAGAGAGAGAGAGAGAGAGAGAGAAAGAGAAAGGAAGGAGCCGGCGGGCCCTGCCTGTGTCTGAGTGTGCCAGTGTGAGTGAGTGTGAGCGCGGGGCCCTGCCTCTCCCGCTGCCCCAGCTCAGGGGCCCGGTGGCCTTGGGAGGGCGGGCGTGCGGACTACTCCGAGGCCGAGGCAGCTAGAGGCGGCGGCGGGGTGAGCCGAGGAGGAGGAGGAGAGAGGAAAGAGCGGAGCAGCCATTGTTGAGGGAAACCTTGCAAACAAAGAAGGCTCCGAACACCCTGCGGCCCCCTGCTCCCCAGGCCGGTCCCCTGGACCCAGGCCCCCGGCCCAGTGGCCACTGTAACTTTCCCCCCGGTCTGTGGACGCTGCGGGGCGGGCGGAGGCTGTGCCCGGGAGTCTTTGTGCGGCCTGCGGAGTGGAGCTCCCAGCCAGGCCGGCCTGTCCCACTCAGGACATGAGCGGCTGAAGTTGGCCCCACCTCAGTCCTCACCCTTGCCAGGGCCCCTCTGGGCTTCCAGACGCTCCCCGCACCTCCCCTGGCCCCCTCAGTTCTCCCAGGTAAGTCTGGGCACCCTGAAAGCTCTTTGGGGTGGGCGAAAGGCCCTCTGTCTAGCCCAGGCCTGGTTTGCTGGTAGGGGGAGAGGTACCCCAGCTCCCAGAGTGGGGGCTGCAGGTCTGCTGGCCTGTGTGGTCAGCCCGTAAAGGAAGGAGGCCTGCCCTCAGGTCACTCTGGTTACCATGGGAATGCCCAGCTGGAGGTATCCTCTCAGCCTCAGGATGCAGCTTCCAACCTGAGCAAACTTTGCTAGTTCTGGGATCTTTTTCAACCCCCTTCTGAAAGACTCCCAGATTATTGGGGAGGGGGTTGTCTCCAGGGCTAAATGACACATCACCCCCACCCCCACCTTGCTCCCTCTACCCCTGCTGCTGTGGACAGGCAGTAACAGGGACAGATGGTCTGGGTGATGTCCCTCCCCTTCTCACTCCCAGCCCCCTGTGCTGGGGCTACTGGGAGTTGCTATGGCTCTAGAGAGATGTAGAGAGATGGTGTTTGTGTCCATTCACTAGAGGTGTAAACAGAGGTCCCAGAGCTTTGGACTTTAGCTCCCCAGAACTATTACCCAGCCCCAAACAATGCCTGGCTGAAATGAAGACTTTAAGACTTTTCAAACTTGGCAAGGAACCTGACTGACCTGCTTCCCTTCTTTTCATGTTCTTAAGCAAATATATTTCTTCAAGAGGTCCTAAAATTTAGGGGGTGTGTGTAGATGTAGTTCTGCCGTTGAGGAAAGGACAGCCTGGTGAGGGGATGAGAGCCAGTCCTGAGGACCTAGAGAGTCTTGGGTTCATTACCTAGGTCTGGCCTTTGGCGGGTCAAGGTTGAACTTTCAGTGTGGCTTTACTCTACTTGTAGTCTATGGAGTGGGGAGGCTTGGAGGCTTGATGGTAACTGTCCCTTTCCTGAGATACAGACTCAGTCCAGGATAGTCGGGTGAAAGCTCTGTGTGCTGTACTTAGAGCATAGGGACCTGGTTCTATGAGTGCTCCAGCATGGGTGAGTGCCTTTTGTGGGTGCCCTGATCTTGCCTGGGGCTGCTGGGTTCCAGCCCTTGATAGGCATGTTGGGGCGAGCTGAGGGTGGAAGCCTGCTAGGCAGGATGAAGTACACGCGTGTGCAGGCACACACAAGCTCTGACTCTTGGCACCTTCAGAGACTGTGTAGGCTGGGCCCCTTTGGGACCCTCTTTTTGCCCACATTATAAGATGGGGCCTCTGGAGAGAAAAATAAATGACATATGTTGGCACAGGGTCTTCCTTTGTCTCTTTTCCCCAGGAGCAAAATAGACTTTATATCTAAATTGGGGCACAACTCAGATACAGCTAACAGAGCTAGCTTTCCAAGTGCAATCAAGTTTTAGGGGCTAAGGAAGTGAAAATGGCAGGGCCAGAACCTTTCAGGCCTTGCCTCAGTTTCCTCTCTTTTCTGGTGGAGAGGGGAAGAATAGAGTTGCCTGAGTAACTGGCTTCTATCCAACTATGAATTTAACTGTTCCAGTCAGGAAATAGTATGCCAGGAACTATATATGCTGCTTCATGAAGTAGAAGAGGGGGCTACTCCTGCATGTGCCCATAGATACAACAGAGATCCCTGTTTAGTCACTATTTGCCTCTTAGACTGAGCCCTGGAACCTACACTCTTTTCCAGGCTCCTAGTATCCATTTTTAAGTAGAATGGGATCTAGCAGACGTTTGTGTACTTACTTCCCCCACTGCAAGTCTCAAGAGAAAAAGTGTTGAGACTTTGGGTTTTTGGTTTAGAGACAATACTTGAACCCATGGTGGGTGTGGATATGGGGGCTGGGCTGATAAGGGAGTGGCCGTTAGCTGGAGGCCCAACTGTTTATCTGGTGGGCGGCACCCAACAGGCACCCCCCCCCTTTATCTTTCTATCCCTTGCCCTCCTAAGACCCTGCAGGGTGGAGGAAGAGTAGAAAATACCCCAAGTCCCCCTTCTTCCTCCCCCACTTTGGTTACCAGAACCCAAATAAAGGGATCAAATGGTAGAAACAGTGTAGGATATGGAGATCAGAATACCTAGGCTCAGATCCTGTTTCTACCAGTTACTGGCCTTATGATCTTGGCAAGCCCCCCTCAGTTGCCAACGTCTGTAAAATGGGAGTGCTCTTGTTAATACTGTTATATCCCCAAATTGTGATGTTTGTATGAAACTATGCAGATAAAAAGGTTTATTAAAATTCTAATGTTTTGATATTTGACATTTCTTCCTTGTATCATCCTTTATCATCCAGTTCTCATCCAAAGAAATGGGATCTTGAGTATGGGCTGGCATTAGGGCTGAATACTATCAGTTTCTTTTCTTTACTTTTTTTTTGGTCTTTTTGAGACAGGGTCTCCCTGTAGCCCCAGCTGTCCTGGAACTCACTATGTAGACCAGGCTGGCCTTGAACTCACAGAGATCCGCTTGCCTCTGCCTCCCAAGTGCTGGAACTACAGGCATGCACCACCATGCCTGGCTTTCTTTCCTTTTTTTAAAAAAAAATTTTATTTTATGTGTGAATGTATTGCCTGCATGCATATGTGTACTACGTGCATGCAGTCTGTGGAGGTCAGAAGAGGGCGTCAAATCCCCTGGAACTAGAGTTACAGAGAGTTGTTAGCTGCCATGTGGGTACTGCGAATCAAACCCGACCCTGGGTCCTCTGCAAGAGCAGCCACTGCTCTTAATCACTGAGCCGTTTCTCCAGCCCCTCTTTTTTTTTTTTTCCTTAAAGACTTAATTTAGCAGTGGCACATTACTTTAATCTCAGCACTCAGGAGACAGAGGCAGGCAGATGTGTGTGAATTTGAGGCCAGGCCAGTCAGTGCTACATGAGACTTTATCTCAGAACAAACAATGTTTTATTTTTGATTTTGTGTGTGTGTGTGTGTGTGTGTGTGTGTGTGTGTGTGTGTGTATATGGATATGTGCATGTGAGCAGGTGCCCTCAGGGCCCAGAAGAGGGTATGGATGCCCTGGAGCTGGAGTTACGGGAGGTTGAGCAGTCAGATAATGTATACGGGTGCTGGGAACTGAACTTAGACCCTGAACTTAGACCCTCTGCAAAAGCAGTATGTGCTGCTCTTGAATACTGAACTATCTCTCCAGCCCTACTCCCAATTTCTTCCTTTTTTTTTTTTTTTTTTTTTTTTTTTGGGTCTTTTTGAGACAGGGTCTCCCTGTAGCCCCAGCTGTCCTGGAACCCACTATGTAGACCAGGCTGGCCTGGAACTCACAGAGGTCCACCTGCCTCTGCCTCCTGAGTGCTGGGACTAAAGGCGTGTACCACCATGCCTGGCTCCAATTTCTTAATTAAACAAGGTTCAGGAGCCAGATTTTGAAGGAGTGATAGGTGTTCCCTAGAGTTGTTTCCTCCCCTTGTTGGCCACTCTCTTGTAAGCAGGCCAGGGACTCTGAAAGACCAGCCCTTATCCACATGGTCTAGCAGACTTCCAGGGAAGCTCCCAAGAGGAGCTCAGGGGAACTGTGCCATCCTCTTTCTATTAGGTTGTTCCTCAAAGTCATTCAAGCTGTACTCACCGAAGGAGCCCCCGAACGGCAACGCCTTCCCTCCCTTTCATCCCGGCACCATGCTGGATCGGGATGTGGGGTGAGTTGCTTGTGTACTTTCTGACCCTCACTACATGGGAACCTACTTGGAAAGGGGAGGGAACGGCCCCCTCTCCTCTAGTAATTTTTGTCTTCCACCCCAATTCTCATAGTCTCTTCCCTTACACAGCCCTACTCCCATGTACCCGCCTACATACCTGGAGCCTGGGATAGGGTAAGTGGAAACCAGCCAGGAGGAAGCTTTTCCTTGCATGGCTGTAGACAGAAAGGGAGTAGATGGGAAGGCTGTGTTCCTATGACCTTCCTTCTTCACTTCCCCAGGAGGCACACACCGTATGGCAACCAAACTGACTACAGAATATTTGAGCTTAACAAACGGCTGCAGAACTGGACAGAGGTATGGCCAAGGGAAGAGGCTGGGAGTGGGAGGTCTGTATGAGCACCCTGGGATGTCTTATCACACACACACAACCCCTCTGTGCTCCCTAGGAGTGTGACAATCTCTGGTGGGATGCTTTCACGACTGAGTTCTTTGAGGATGATGCCATGCTGACCATCACTTTCTGCTTGGAGGATGGACCAAAGAGATATAGTAAGTGACCTCTGTGAGAGTGTTGCACCTCCTGTGTAGTTTGTGGGTCTGGAGGTTCCAAGGGGAAGTATCTGCCTGGCAGCTTTTTTGAGGTCTCTGAGTCCTAAAGAGTTTGTCCTATCTCTACAGCCATTGGCCGGACCCTGATCCCACGCTACTTCCGCAGCATTTTTGAGGGGGGTGCTACCGAGCTGTATTATGTACTTAAGCACCCCAAGGAGGCATTCCACAGCAATTTTGTGTCCCTTGACTGTGACCAGGGCAGCATGGTGACCCAGCACGGCAAACCCATGTTCACCCAGGTCAGCAAACCAACAGGATATGGAACACCAAGGGCACCTGGATTTGATTTCCTCTTTCCCAACATGTACTCACAGCTGTTCCCAAGGAGGAATAATGGGAAGTGGCCAAATAAGAAGGGAGGGCAGGCATACTGTAGCATTCAGCAGATATTTATTTGGTTTATTCATGTCAGTTTTCTGGGCCCCAGAGGTATACGGTGAACGAGAGCCTGCCCTCATAGAGCTTGTAGCAGATGGGTTTTTCTCTGGCTACTTGGGAAAAGGACGAGGATCTGTTAAGCTTTCCTACTATGTGTGTGTAAGTATATGTGAGTGTATAAAGGCCAGGTATGACAGGTATATGGGGAGGGGGGGTCTGTGACAGTTACACACCCAGATGTTTATATAGGTAGCAGAAGTGTATGCAGGGGGAGAGTTGTAAGTGAAGGGGAGCACTGTAACAGGCACATTTTAGTGTTTGTAGGGTGGGGGCAGGGATGTGACAAACCTATCCCCAGGTATGTGTGGAGGGCCGGTTGTACCTGGAGTTCATGTTTGACGACATGATGCGGATAAAGACGTGGCACTTCAGTATCCGGCAGCACCGAGAGCTCATTCCCCGGAGCATCCTTGCCATGCATGTGAGTTGTGGGGACGTGGGGAGAAGATAAATAGCAGGAGGGTTGAATAGGATGTACCATTTCCTGACTGACCTTAGAGTGAAGGGGGGAAAATGGGTTTATTTCTTATTCTTAGCTCCGTTATTTCAAACTATCATAGGGCTCAGTTAGGGCCACTGAGCAGGTACAATCCAGATACCAGTGTTCTTCCTCCCTCTCTAGGCCCAGGACCCCCAGATGCTGGATCAGCTTTCCAAAAACATTACCCGGTGTGGGCTATCCAATTCCACTCTCAACTACCTCCGAGTGAGTTACTGATTACCTCAGTTTTGCTTCATCTTGTTTTGTCTAAGCTCTATGTCTCTCCCCTGACAATCTACCTCCTGATCTACCCCCAGCTCTGTGTGATACTGGAGCCCATGCAAGAGCTCATGTCCCGCCACAAGACCTACAGCCTCAGCCCCAGAGACTGCCTCAAGACCTGCCTTTTCCAGAAGTGGCAGCGCATGGTAGCACCTCCCGGTGAGCCCCTGACTGTACCAGGACCTGACACCTGACAGCACACCATGGGGCTGTATTTTTTTTTTTTTTTTTTTTTGAGACAGGGTCTCCTTGTAGCCATAACTGGCCTGGAACTCATTATGTAGACAAGGTTGGCCTTGAGCTCACAGAGATCCACCTGCCCCTGCCTCCCAAAGTGCTGGGATTAAAGGCATGTGCCACCACGTCTGGCTCAAGGCTGTTTATCTTCTCATGAAGTTCCTTCTCCTTCCTTACTCCTGAGTCTACAAGACTGAGGACAGAGTAGATTCAAGCTCCTGAGGAGCTAGAATAGAGAATAGGGGCCCAGGGCCCTCTTACCTGAGTCTTCTTTCTCTGGCGCAGCGGAACCTGCACGGCAACAGCCCAGCAAACGGCGGAAACGGAAGATGTCTGGGGGCAGCACCATGAGTTCGGGGGGTGGCAATACCAACAACAGCAACAGCAAGAAGAAGAGCCCAGCCAGCACCTTCGCTCTCTCCAGCCAGGTACCTGTAAGCATCTCGGCTTTCTTCTCTTCTGGGCTGCCCCACTGCTCACTCCTCACCCCTGTCTGAGTCTAAACTTATAAACAGACATAGAAGCAAAGACAGTTTTTCCCATGTACTCTAGAGCCAGCTTAAGCTGACTCCTTTCACTGATAGAATCCTCAGCAGGCACATGCATGGTTGTGATCACGTATGCTCAGCTATAGGCACACAGCATAAAGAAACAGAATCAAACATGAGAGCATACAGATATTGAGAGCAGATAGTGTGGGGCATACACCATCAGAAATATACACGCTCACACTAATAGAGGGACATGTAGACTTGAATATTTGCCTATGTAGAATATATGCACATGTGTGCACACATATACATTTCCCTCCCTCATAATTTTGATCTGCTCTCTCTCTCTTGTGGGCAGAAGTTTAAAGGCCCCTAAAATCTGAGGAAGATGGATTAGGGAGTTAGGGGAGTAGGCTAATATTTCCTCCCAGAATCCAGTGGGTAGGAGCTAAAAGATGTGATGCTCCTGGTGGGAAGGATTCCAGGAGCCAAGGGTGTCAGAGTTGGGATTTTAAACTTGGGTATGAAGAGGAGGTGGTGGGGACTTGAGCTTTTAGGGAGGGTATGGGGGTTCTGGGGATATTTGCTGCCCTGGGCTGGGCGAGCCCCTGCCCCGATTATGTTTGGGGACCTCCGCCACTCTCAGGATGTGATGGTGGTGGGGGAGCCCACCCTGATGGGCGGGGAGTTCGGGGACGAGGACGAGAGGCTCATCACCCGGCTGGAGAACACCCAGTTTGACGCGGCCAACGGCATTGACGACGAGGACAGCTTTAACAACTCACCTGCACTGGGCGCCAACAGCCCCTGGAACAGCAAGCCTCCTTCCAGCCAAGAAAGCAAATCGGAGAACCCCACATCACAGGCCTCCCAGTAAAGGCTCTACCATGGCCACCTAGCGCTCTGCCTGCCTGCCCCACCCCTCACAGTCCCGGGGAGCAGAAGACAGAATGAAGAGACTGAGCATCTAAAATGGGCAGCCTCCATCCACCCACTTCAGGGAGGAACTGGACTCACTGGGGGCAGGTGCCAAGATTTGCCCCCTGATAGCCCTGGGCTGGGCCTGGCCCCTGCAGAGCCTTTTGGGGGAAGGGGTTATTCATGTGGATACCTCTGTGGACCCTGGGCCCCTGAGAAATGTCCTGACCCCCTTCCCCAGGGCATTTGCCCTCATTTTCACCCCAGGTTCTGGGTGCCCCATCATCCTGACTTAACCCTTTGAGCCCGGGGTTGTCTATACCCACAGCCCTTAGGGGCTTAAAGTTATGGAGCATAGTTGAATGCCCCTCCCCTAGGCGGCTGATAATAGAGGGGTAAAATTCTGGGCTCTTCCCTTCTTCCACTTACCAGTTCCAAGTTTTTAAAAAAAATAATATTATTAAAAATGTAAATTAAAAAAAAATCACTCATGTCCCCGTATTCCCCTGTTAAAAATCCAGCTACCTCCCTCCTTCTGGCAGATGGAGGGCCGAGGGCCCAGGTGAGGGTTAGAGTGGGAGCAGGGGAGTGTGTGTACCATTGGAGAAGCATCAGACCAAGGAGACACTTTGCCATCTCTCTTCCCTTTTCCTCTGGGGTGACTGGAGTTGGGGGTAGCATGCCATGAGTTGGGGTTGGAGTCATTGATGACCGCATCTTTGTGACAACCCCCTGCTGTTGTCTGTCTCCCTAGACTCCAGGATTCTAGCCTGCCCTTCTAGTGCTTGCTCGAGTCTCCATTCCCACCCCCATGGTGTGTATATTCTTCACAGTCCTCCACTACAGCAGCTGTCTTGGACAGGGTGGAGAGGCTTCCTCCCTCAGGGAGGATGGTGGGAAGGGAGCAGCTTTGTTTGTCCTTGTATTTTTGTTTTGCCCCAGTGGGGCAGGAATGAGAGGAACTCATCCACACCAACACCTCCAACTGCATATCTAGTCCCAGCCTTTCCTTCACTGAGGGGAAGGAGCCACTAAGGACATCCCAGCTTAAGCCCACCAGGGAGAAAAAGGCCTCTGTCCCTCCCTCAGCTGAGGTAAACATTCCTCTTCCCAGGTCCCCTCCCTTACAGAAGCAAGGAGGAGCAGCCAGGATCCTCAGCTCCATTTCATAGTTGCAAAACATGGAAGCTGAGAGTGAGGGGAGGCCCAGATCAGGATCCCATGGCTCATGGCTTTGCTGCTTTTTCCTGTGGCCAGTCCCAGGACATGTCAGTGCCACCTCTCTTCCCATTCTCCCCTCTGGATTATGGGGTCCCTTGTGCCCTGCTTCCTCCATTCCAGCCACTTTTGGGAGGATACAGTCAGGGGCTGAAAGAAGGGGTGAGGAAGGTGGATGTTCTACCCCAACGGTAATGACTTTTTTTTCCCCTTTTTTCTTTTCTTTTTTTCCCATTTTTTCTTTTTTCTTTTTTTGGGCCATTTGAGTCATGTATAGTACCAATCAATAAAGAGACTTTTTGGTTTGAGAGCGTCCTGGTTGATCATTAATGCCAAATAATCCCTTAGTTCAAGGCATTCTTTCCCAAGAACGTCCTTCCATCTTACCTCTCACTTCTCTCTTCTGGAGTTGTTTCTCAGAGTCATACCTGTCCTTCACCCAAACCCCCATACTGTCTCCAGGTATCCCATCCTGGCCTGATCTCCCTCAAATGTTGACTTTCCTCATTCCCACTCCAGTTGTTGCCTCCCACCCCTAGCTGTCTTTAGATTACTGTACTCAGAGGCAGGGCTCCTGGGAGAGAGCCTTGGACAAAAATGCTGAAGGAGGGCTGGAGGAAAGGATCCTTGGAGGGGACTGGGTTGCAGGATTGTGGAGCTGTTAGAGTGCCTGAGACGTTCTTCACTGTTTTCTGGAAGATTTTTACCACTACCCAGTCCCCAGCTTACTAGCCCAGATGAGATCTAAATCAGTCTCCCCTGGGGCAAAAGTCCCTGGATTGGGGATTAAGAGATGAGCAGAATTGTTTTTCTCCTGCTGACTTTGGTGGGGGGCATCTAAGTTCCACAGGGAGATGGAAGGAGAAATAGGGCCCCTTCTGATTCCTTTCCAGTTAGTTACTGATTCCAAGCACAACTTTCCGACCATTGAAGACAACTGTCAAGATGGGCAGACCCTGCTGTTGGTTGGAGCTTGGGTCTTTGCACCCATAATACCTCCTCTGTAGTGTCTCATTTTCATCACAGGCAGGGGAAGCCAGGCTATTACCCCATTAAGGCCTCTATGGATCTGAAATTAAACCTGACAGACCTGTGCTTCCACCTCACTTTCCCAGTTGGCAGGAGGACAACGGGAAAGAACTGCTTGGCTGACATACACCCCGCCCCTATCCACAGTTACCCTGCCCTATTGCCAGCCCAGCACCTCAAGACCCCAAGGACGACATTTGCACTTGTGTACATTACACACATGCCTGGCCTGACAAGGACATTTACCAGCTACACTCAGTACCAGGTAATACCAGGGGGTCTGTCTCTGGCACTGGGTACGCATCTGGCTTTTTTGCTGGAGTGTGTGCTAGTGTCTTTATGCACATGACTGCTGAGCTGGAAATACCGTGCATGAGTATATGTGAGGTACGTATCCATGTGTTAATGTGTATGAAGGCATGTGTATATTTTTTGCTGTGTTTTTAAAGATTTTGTGTATGAGTGTTTGCTTGCATATATGTAATACATCACGTGTATAGTAACCTTGGAAGCCAGAAGAGGATGTAACTCCCTGGAACTGGAGTTACAAATTGTTGTAAAGTTGCAGTGTGGGTGCAGAGATTCGAACACAGGTCCTCTGTAAGAGCAGATAGTGCTCTCAATCATTGAGCCATCTCTCCAGCCTCTATGTGCATGTTTATAAGTGTTGGTAAATTGATTCCTTCAGGTAGTATTAAGTCCTCTTAGCTATCAGGCCCAATTCTAGGTGCTGGGGATGTATTGAACAAGATGAAAGCATGCCAGCTGGATGTGAGTAGAGGCTCTAAGTGTATAATGAGGATGTGTTGGTAAATGCATGGCTTGGCAGTGAGATTGTGTTGTTGTTGGCTGCTGGGATAGTAGTTGTATGCTTGGGTTGGACATTTCCAAGTTTATATCATATGTGTGGTGTATGGTGTGGTATGTGTGTGTGATGTGTTGGGAGGTGGAAGATCCAGGAAAGAGGCAGATTGCCAGACTGAGACTGTCCTGCTTTGGGGAAAAGGGTAGGCCCAAGAACAAGGAAACTCACTATTTGAACTCAGGAAACACAGTGGCTAGCAACTTCCTCTGGAACTCCAGATCTGGTTCCTCTACTGTGGTCCCCCAGCAGCCCCTGTGGGGAAGGCCCCTGTGGAAAATGAATCTTCTAGGGTAAAGGAAGAGTCGGAGCCCCTTCAAGGCCCTCATTCCCTTTATTGAAGCTGTAGGTGTGAGCTAGCACCAGGCCCTAGTATGCTGCTGAAGAACTTTACTTATTCTGACTCAGTCTGACCCCAGCTCAGAACCTAAACTCAACAACCCAAAGTCTCTCTCCCTTCTGAACCTCCAGCTCAGCCTGACCTCCACTCCTTTTCCACATCTCCTGGCCTAGATACATCCAATTTGAGCTCTAGCCCCCTTTCTCAGACTCCCAACTAGTTAGACACAACCATTAATAACTCTTTTTGGCTTTTTGAGACAGGGTCTCCCTGTAGCCCCAGCTGTCCTGGAACTCACTATGTAGACCAGGCTGGCTTCGAACTCACAAAGATCCGCCTGCCTCTGCCTTTCAAGTGCTGGGATTAAAGGCGTGTGCTACCATGCCTGGCAACCATTAATATTCTTAATCCAGCCTGACTTCTAACTTTTTTTTTGTAACAGATTTTTAAAAAATAATTTATTATTCTTATTTTATGTGTATGCATGTGTTGCCAGCATGTAGGTAAGTGCACCGTGTCATGCAATGCCTGCAGAGGACAGAAGAGACTGTCAGATCCCCTAGAACTGGAATTAAGTTACAGACAGTTGTTAGCTGACATGTGGGTGCTGGGATTCAAACCTGGGTCTTCTGCAAGAACAGTCAGTGCTCTTATCTGCTGAGCCATCTCTCCAGCCCTCACTTCTAACTTTTTCAAAGGGAGGACTCTAGCCAGCCAGGTTATCCTCTTTGGAACTGAACTCTAAGCCTTTTTCCCTAAACAAAACAACGTAACAAAACCATGTGGCTTTCCCAGGCCCCCATAAAGCCATTTTGATCAAGTCAAACTTATCTGGGAGAATAGTAGAAGGTAAGGGGGTTAGATACAGCTGGAAGAAAAAAATTTAGAGATGAGGATCCTAGGTCAGGCTAAAAGGAAGGCAACACAAAATAGGACTTTTACTTGAGATAGGGTCTTGGTGTGTAGCCCTGACTGACCTGGAACTCACTGTGTAGACCAGGCTGGCCTCCAACTCACAGAGATCCACCTGCCTCTGCTTCCTGAGTGTTGATGTTAAAGATGTGTACCACCACACCCTGCTACAAAATAGGGCGTTTATTTATTTATTTATTATTTATTTAATTTTTGTTCTTTTTGAGACAGGGTCTCCCCTGTAGCCCCAGCTGGCCTTGAACTCAGAGATCCACCTGCCTCTGCCTCCTGAGTGCTGGGACTAAAGGCATGTACCACCATGCCCAGATTAGGACATTTCTTTAAATATGTATGAGTATTATGCCTGCATGTATGTAAATACACCCATGTCATGCAATACCCATGGACGTCAGAAGAGGGCGATGGCTCCCTGGAACTGGAATGACAGTTGTTAGCTGCCATGTGGGTGCTGGGGACTGAACCTGGTTCCTCTGCAAGAGCACCCAGTGCTCTTAATCACTGAGCCATCTCTCCAGCCCCCAAAATAGGAATTTTTTTTTCAGTTTTATGTGTATGAGTGTATTGCCTGCATGTACATAAGTGCACCTGTGTAGTGCAACACCCATGGAGGACAGAGGAGGCTGTCAGATCCCCTGGAACTGGAGTTAGGGACAGTTGTTAGCTGCCATGTGGATGCTGGGATTCAAACCTGGGTCCTCTACAAGAACAGCCAGTGTTCTTAACCACTGAGGCCATTTCTCCAGCCTCCAAAGTAGGACTTTTAGACAGCACTTAGGAAGTCACATAAAACTGGGCACACCCCTATAAGCCTGTAATCCTAACACTTCTAGAGGTGGAGCTAGCAGAATCAGAAATTCAAGGTCATCCTCAGGATACCTCTTTATTTCAAGACCAGCCTGGGACATAGATAACCCTGTCAAAAAAAAAAAAAAAGAATGGCTGTAGGGGTATACTGTGGGGCTCCAGGAAGGAAGGATTAGTGGGCATGTTTTCTGAGAAGAATTTTAGGAAAAAAGGAACCAGCTAAAATTTCCTTTATAGTTTTTCCTAAATAGAGTTTTGTATGAAAA